AAGACTCCAGAAAAACTCAAATCTCCAACAAAGGAAGCAGAAAAACCTCCAGCTGTGAAAATTCCAGAGAAAGTTCCTTCACCAACAAAAGAGGACCTCAAGCCTCCAGAAAAGCTCAAGCTTCCTCCAAAAGAGGAAGCTAAATCTCCAGAGAAAGTCAAGACACCAACAAAGGCCAAATCTCCAGAAAAGGAAACAGCACCACAAAAGGAGCCAGCTAAACCAGTGACAAAGGAAGAGAAGGCACCAGGGAAAGAAGAGGAAGTGCCGGCCAAGCCCATGGCTGAGGAGAAGAAACCGAGCAAGAAAGAAGAGACCAAGCCAGAAATCCCAGCCAAGGATACCCCAAGGGCAGAAGCCAAGGAAGAGTTAAAGGAGAAGGCTGAAGATGAGAAGAAACCAAGCACCAAGGCAGAGACACCTACCCTTGGTGGGAAAAATGCGACTGCTGCTGCCAAGGCTGAGGAGAGCAAGGGGAAGGAAAAGGAGACCACCAAACCAGAGCCAGAGAAAGAGGTGGAGAAAGGAACCAAGGAGTCTGTGCCAAAATCTCCAGCCGAGGAAGTGAAAGCTAAGACACCAAGCCAGCCAGCCAAGAAGGAAGCTGAGAAGGCCAAGGCTGAAGTGGAGAAAGAAGAACCAAAGAAGGAGAAAGCAGAGCCCAAGAAGGAGGAGGAGGAGGAGAAACCTAAAGCAGGAGAGAAACCCAAAGAAGTGAAGAAGGAGCTAAGCCCCAAAGAGACTCCCACGCCGGAGGATGCCCAAGAAACACCAAAGGCAACAAAGACAGAAAAAGGGGGAAAGCCCTCTGAGAAGATGGACCCCAAAAACGATAAGCCCACCGAAAAAGAAGAGAAGAGCAAGACAAGCGAGAAGTGATCAGAAGATGCTGGAGGTGCCGGAGGGGGCGCCACAGGACTGTTGGAAGGCCACCCGGTGTCAGGACTGTCACTCCTCAAGGCCAGATCTCGGTTAGGTAACTGAGGAGTCTCCCCGAGGCTGGAATGCATGTTTGCAAAACGTTTACGTGAAGGGGAAAACAAACCCACCTGAGCGACGGTCGGAGACTTGGTGGAAAAGGTGGTCCCAATATGTTATGACCGCTTTCGTAGCAGAATGTGATATATGCAGAATGCCATTTAAGCACTTGAATTATTCAAGGGGGGAGGGGGGAATCCAGAGCAAAACTTGACTGCCCTTCTCAGATAAGTGCATTTATTTCCCAAATAGGGGCAAGGAAGGGTCAAACGCAATAAACCTGAACGTAGAGCTGGGATTCTGCTTTGGAGAGATGCACTAGGCTAGAGAATGCCAAAACGATTTTTTTAAAGATGCCTTCGTCGTTGGATGTGCACTGCTTGGGCGTCACTGCTGAAGGTCTTGTCCAGCTCTTGGGTGTCGCAGGAGGGAGGGGACTGTAGGGGGTGTCTGTAGAGAAACAGGGGGATTCAAACTGGGTGGTCTTGCCTTGCCCCCTCCATTCAGCCCCACTGCTGTCTCAAGGGGGCCTTCCGATGTGCTAGTTTTGCCCAAGAGTTAGAGAATTTGAGCTGGAGAGTCATTTAAATCCCCTCACCCAAATTCTCCAGCTCCTTTGTGGAAGAGCGGTGATCCCCAAGATTCGTTAGGAGGGAAAACCGGTTTAGTTTTGAAGGGTTGACACCTCCGACACGAACAATCATGTGTGTGTGCATATTCTCACACACACGCACACACACACAGATTAAAAAGTGCACTACACCATATCCAAAGTTCATTTCCAATTGCTTCTGTGCAATAAACAGCAAATTAAAAAATGCTTACAATAAATTGACTGTTCTTTTTCTGGTCTTCTTGTTCGGGGTGTAGAGAAGAACACTTAGATGGGGGGGCAGAGATAACGTGCATTGCACTGCAGAGGTACAAGGTTTCACCCCAAGATATTCACATAGGTAGAAGGAGCAGATTATTAGTAGCAGGAAAGATCTTTCAGAGTCCAGATCTTAGAAGACAGCCATGTCCCCCCGGCTGCTGATAAAGTGAGGGTCTGATTTCACAAGGTCAAAGCAAATATAGGTAGTCCTCACTTAATGACCACAATAGGAACTGGAAAATTGGTTGTTAAGCAGGGCGGTCATTAAACAAGTCACCGCATGACCAGACCCAATTTTACCACCATTTTACGATGGTCATTAAGCGAATCACATGGTTAAGTGAATCATGTGGTTAAGCAAATCCAGCTTCTCCAATGGACTTTTTCTGCTAGAATTCAATTAATGACCACGTGATTTGCTTAACGATATCATAAAAAAGGTCGCAAATCACGATCACGTGACCGCGGGGGGTGGCGCGATGGTTTGTGATGGTCATAAGTGTGAGTACAAGTTGTAAAGCAATTTTTCCGAGGTTGCCGTAACTCTGAACCATCATTAAACAAACGGTCATTAAGCAAGGACTACCTGTACTTAAAATCTTGGTCCTTTACAAAACCAAGGCTAACATCAGCCCAGTGTTTTACACAATCTACACCCATGAGTTCCTGCTTCCAGTTCTGTGTTGTTGGGGGAAGCTGGACAGATAACCCTGGCTGTGCAATGCAGCAAAACATTTGGTTTGCAAAGAGAAGTTCCCAGTTTCAGTCTTGGGCCCTCCTCTCTGAAAAAAGTTGATGGAATTGGTGGAGAAAGACTTCCTGCTAGAAATTCTGGAGAGCATCTGTCTACATGGGTGTAGCAAGTACCCAGCTATCTAAATGCTAAGCAAGCAAAACATCCCCGAACTTACATATTTAAAAAAGGGCATGGCAGGGAATTTATTTATTTGTCCTATAGGGAGATGTTTGGAATGTGTCTGGGACTATCCTGCCCAGAGTAGGGCAAAAAGGATCGTTAAAAGTGTCCATGGTAAAGCAAAGACAGTGGACAGGATCATCACCAAGATCTACTCCAGAGCAGAAACCAATGCAGTAGCAAAGCGTCAGATTCTGTTACAGCGTGGAGAACAGTGTTTCTCAACCTCAGCAACTTCAAGACGTGTGGACTTCAAGTCCCAGGATTCCCTAGTCAGCATGTCTGCAGTCTAAGATGGTAGAGAACTAGTTCATGCATTTGAGGAGTGTTACTATAATCCTACATCTCAAGGCTAAACCGCTCCAGTCTCCTTTTGTAGGCTGAGCTGCTAATCCAGCATGGCTGGCTGGGGAATTCTGGGAATTGAAGTCCAGACATCTTAAAGTTGCTGAGAAACACTGTTCTAATCTGAACATCCTCACCCTTTTCTAACCCTGTTCTAGTTGTCTGAACTAAAAAAAGTAATGGTCGCAACTGAACACTGGATTCAAGAGGTCTCTGACCAATAGAATATAACAATCAATTTTCATGATTTGGAAATGATTGTGATTTCTTCATTACATGACAACAAGGAACAAAATGATGAAATGTGTGTGGAACATGGGTTTCCATTCATAATTTCAAGTGTATGTACTTTTCCCCTTCCTCGTCATTTCTACAATTTCTCAATGACTTTGTTCATTAGTCGATAAAAAGACCCAACTTTTGCAGAACCTCCAGGAGCCTTCCAACTGCAATCCGGTACAGAAAACCAAAAAGACTTGCTACAAATTCCAGAAGAAAGTCAACAATCAGTTCCTTTGAAAGACCTCAATTTTACTGAATTGGAGTGAGATTCTTCCTTCCATCCTTGCCACTCTCCCTCCTGAAGGGTTAAGTCTCCAAACACCAACCTTTTGATTCCTCTGAGATACTCCCAACCATGATGTAGCAGCTGAACTGAAAGGCAGTACAGAAAACACAAAACCTCCTCCTTTCTTCGGGAATAATTTGGGATCAACAAGGAGGGAGCGGATGGGAAGGCAAACAAACAGAACTAGGGCTGAGAGACACTCAACCTGGAAAG